GGTATGGTTGTGGGTGAGAGTGAGGGTGAAGGTGAGGGTGTGGTTGTGGTTGAGGATGAAGGTGAAGGTGAGGGTGAGGGTGAGGGTGAGGGTGAGGGTGAGGGTGAGGGTGAGGGTGAGGATGTGGTTGAGGATGATGGTGAGGGTGTGGGTGAGGATGAGGATGAGGGTGAGGGGGTGTGGTTGAGGATGAGGGTGAGGGTGAGGGTGTGGTTGTGGGTATGGTTGAGGATGAGGGTGAGGGTGAGGGTATGGTTGAGGATGAGGGTGAGGGTGAGGGTGAGGGTGTGGGTGTGGGAATGGGAGTGTGTGAGGGTGAGGGTGAGGGTATGGTTGAGGATGAGGGTGAGGGTGAGGGTGAGGGTGTGGGTGTGGGAATGGGAGTGTGTGAGGGTGATGGTGAGGGTGTGGTTGAGGATGAGGGTGAGGGTGAGGGTGAGGGTGTGGTTGTGGGTATGGTTGAGGATGAGGGTGAGGGTGAGGGTATGGTTGAGGATGAGGGTGAGGGTGAGGGTGAGGGTGAGGGTGTGGGTGTGGGAATGGGAGTGTGTGAGGGTGAGGGTGAGGGTGAGGGTGAGGATGTGGTTGAGGATGAGGGTGAGGGTGTGGTTGAGGATGAGGGTGAAGGTGTGGTTGAGGATGAAGGTGAGGGTGAGGGTATGGTTGAGGATGAGGGTGAGGGTGAGGGTGAGGGTGAGGGTGTGGGTGTGGGAATGGGAGTGTGTGAGGGTGAGGGTGAGGGTGAGGGTGAGGATGTGGTTGAGGATGAGGGTGAGGGTGAGGGTGAGGGTGTGGTTGTGGGTATGGTTGAGGATGAGGGTGAGGGTGAGGGTATGGTTGAGGATGAGGGTGAGGATGAGGGTGAGGGTGAGGGTGTGGGTGTGGGAATGGGAGTGTGTGAGGGTGAGGGTGAGGGTGAGGGTGAGGATGTGGTTGAGGATGAGGGTGAGGGTGTGGTTGAGGATGAGGGTGAAGGTGTGGTTGAGGATGAAGGTGAGGGTGAGGGTATGGTTGAGGATGAGGGTGAGGGTGAGGGTGAGGGTGAGGGTGTGGGTGTGGGAATGGGAGTGTGTGAGGGTGAGGGTGAGGGTGAGGGTGAGGATGTGGTTGAGGGTGAGGGTGAAGGTGTGGTTGAGGGTGAGGGTGAGGGTGTGGTTGAGGGTGAGGGTGAAGGTGTGGTTGAGGATGAGGGTGAGGGTGAGGATGTGGTTGAGGGTGAAGGTGTGGTTGAGGATGAGGTTGAGAGTGAGGGTGTGGTTGAGGGTGAGGGTGAGGGTGTGGTTGAGGATGAGGGTGAAGGTGTGGTTAAAGATGAAGGTGAAGTTGAAGGTGAGGGTGAGGGTGGTTGCGGGTGAGGGTGTGGTTGAGGATGAGGGTGAAGGTGTGGTTGAGGATGAGGGTGATGGTGTGGTTGAGAATGAGGGTGAAGGTGAAGGTGAGGGTGAAGGTGGTTGAGGATGAGGGTGAGGGTTTGGTTGAGGATGAGGGTGAGGGTGTGGTTGAGGATGAGGGTGAGGGTTTGGTTGAGGATGAGGGTGAGGGTGTGGTTGAGGATGAGGGTGAAGGTTTGGTTGAGGATGAGGGTGAAGGTGTGGTTGAGGGTGAGGGTGAGGGTGAAGGTGAAGGTGAAGGTGTGGTTGAGGATGAAGGTGAGGGTGAAGGTGTGGTTGAGGATGAAGGTGAGGGTGAAGGTGTGGTTGAGGATAAAGGTGTGGTTGAGGATGAAGGTGTGGTTGAGGATGAGGTTGCAGGTGTGGTTGAGGATGAGGGTGAAGGTTTGGTTGAGGATGAGGGTGAGGGTTTGGTTGAGGATGAGGGTGAGGGTGTGGTTGAGGATGAGGGTGAAGGTTTGGTTGAGGATGAGGGTGAAGGTGTGGTTGAGGGTGAGGGTGAGGGTGAAGGTGAAGGTGAAGGTGTGGTTGAGGATGAAGGTGAGGGTGAAGGTGTGGTTGAGGATGAAGGTGAGGGTGAAGGTGTGGTTGAGGATAAAGGTGTGGTTGAGGATGAAGGTGAGGGTGTGGCTGAGGATGAGGGTGAAGGTGAAGGTGAAGGTGTGGTTGAGGATGAAGGTGAGGGTGAAGGTGTGGTTGAGGATGAAGGTGTGGTTGAGGATGAAGGTGAGGGTGTGGCTGAGGATGAGGGTGAAGGTGAAGGTGAAGGTGTGGTTGAGGATGAAGGTGAGGGTGAAGGTGTGGTTGAGGATGAAGGTGAGGGTGAAGGTGTGGTTGAGGATAAAGGTGTGGTTGAGGATGAAGGTGAGGGTGTGGCTGAGGATGAGGGTGAAGGTGAGGGTGAGGGTATGGTTGAGGGTGAGGGTGAGGGTGAGGGTGAAGGTGTGGTTGAGGATGAGGGTGAAGGTGAGGGTGAGGATGTGGTTGAGGGTGAGGGTGAAGGTGTGGTTGAGTTTAGGGTGAGAGTGAGGGTAAGGTTGAGGGTGAGGGTGAGGGTGAGGGTGGGTGTTTTGTATGGCAGGTGTGTTTTCGTGAAGCGAACAAGTATTTAAATTGCAAAGTGCGCAATATTTTCCCGAAGTTATAATATGGCAAAAAATGCTTTCAACAGTCAGAGCTGCGTACACCTCCATTATTTTATTACTTCAAATCGAAAAGTTTACAAGCACAACATGCAAGCTGGTTAGGTCAAGTACAATGCTGACGATGCCAATGTCTAGTCTTCATGTACACCCGCCATATACTGAGTGAGCCATATACTGAGTGTTTCACGCCGCTTTGACGAGTATTTCTGTTGTATCACAGCGTGCAATTACAGTTACATGGCATACAAACGTGGCTCATACATAAAGGGAACAGATGTTGACGCGGAATTCCTTGAACACCTTACATGTGAGATACGCCATATTGCTGTTTGTTACTTTCTGACGTACATTGGATAGAGCATTTTACCTTCAATGGTTTGAGAGGAGACGTTTTGTTTCCCGATTCAAGATCGCATCTGTCATTCCAGACACGTGTCTACGTGTACACTTACAGGGTTATATACAGGATTTATGCCTTTTAAAAGAAAGAGAGGATGGTGAGTAAGTAGTGAGTTGGGTTTAACACCGTTTGAACAGTAAACCAGTTATATCAAGGCGTGCCAACTTAATGTGGGAGAAAAACCCGACGTGATGCATGTCTTACCATCTTGCATGGGTATGGTACTGACAAACCTAGAAACGTTATTTGGGCGAACCGGGATTCGAACGCACCATCATAGGTTTCTGGTGTGCCCAAGGGATGGAACTCTGCACAGCGAATTGTGGCGCCTTAGACGACTGTTCTTTCGAATATCTATCAGCAATTGAGTGGTGGGGTAGTCTATTGGGTAAAGCGTTTTCACGTGACGACTATGGCCGGGTTCGATTCCACACAGCTAATGTAAGGAGCCCACCCTTCGCGATATTGCTTGAATATAACCATTATCACTTGTTGCATCCTTTCCTGTGCAGAGTTGCGTCCCTTGGGCACGCCAGAAACCTATGATTGTGGGTTCGAATCCCGGTTCGCCCCGATTATGTTTCTAGGTTTGTCAGCACTATACCCGTGCTCGTGGGTATCACCGAAGTGGTAAACGTCTGAGACCTGCATCACTTCGGGCTTTCCTCCCACATTAAGCTGACACGCCGTGATATAACTGGAATACTGTTAAAAGCGGCGTAACACCCAACTCACTCACTCACTGTTGCATCCTTCCACCAATACATTCAAATTCAACACGTGTAGTTGTAAGGTAAGTTCATCAAAGTAACACCCTGTGGGAAGAATGTAGTCCCAATCAACGTATTGTAAGAAGCGACCAGATGAATCGGATGGTCAGGCTAGGTGACTTGGTATACCAAATGCGTAGATCTATGCTCATGATGTCAACCATTGGTTTGTGTGGTCCACCGTCATATAATCTAATATTTTTATGTGCGGCGTTAAACAACAAACAAAGATAGGACTCATTTAGCAAAATGTTCTATGTATCAATTAACTGTTTTTATGCTAGCCACCTGTCTGCCACACTGACCACTGTTAGCAAATTCATTTGTTACCGCTACTTCAATGCACTGCCAGGAGCTCGGTCACCATACTTTAAACGGGAAGTGTACACGCAAAAATTACTTTCTTTCTTTTTTCTAAACAAAACGCAATTTTAGAATTAGTTAGTATCTGTGTTTGAAAATATACACTCATTTTTTCACAGTGAAAGTAGGAAGCTCACAATAGTGTGAAAATGATATGCCGTTATGAGGCCTTCGTTTTTCGAGCTAAACAGGCCTGAGTTATCTCCCTTAGATTATGACGTAATTGGTGCCAATTCAACTGGGTCCCTGTCTATTCTGAAGGCAAAAGATATCAAGTACAAGTTTTCGGTAAAACAACATGGCCTACGACACACTCCGGCGCAGTGGTGACTCAGCATAACACTATGCTGGCTGGCATCTGAGTCGCTAGAATCACACACCTGTACCTACACCACGTGAAGAGGCTCTAACAAAGCATGATGACGTCAAAATGTTTATCAATTGGCACCAATGACGTCATATTGCAAGGGGCATAAGCCATGGTGTTTTTGTTATGGAAATAGAACACTTGGTAAATGTGAAAAATATAAATCGTTTTAATGCAAAACATATGTTGATTAATTGTGATATTTTTATATTTTTGTCTATGACACTTCTAGGTTAACACTTTTATTGTGGAAAAAGTACAAGAAAATTAGGTTCATTTCCGTGTGAACTTGCCCTTTAACTGTTATAACATTGCCTGTCTGTTCTTCACAGAAGACAGGTGGCCGCATCCTTGCTAGCCACAGCTCCACACAGCGCTGATATCTCGGACACATCCATATTATAAATACAGGGAGAAACAAGCTGTGTCAGTCTCGGATTGAACATAGAGCGATGCATTCTCTTAACAGTGTCTGTAGTGATGCTGTAGTCGCATGGCACCAGTCAGATACGCCTGCCTTGCTACTTGTCCAATAACTATGGTCAATACCACGTGTTGATCCGGCATCGGACTATAATTGGCCTCTTCATAACACGGACCCGTTTACTTTGCAGACTATTGACTGATTTGCAACACATTGCAGATTATATTTTCCCTGGGATTGGCAATACCAGTGTCGGATTGTGTGTAAATGAGGTTGGTGATAGAATATCGGAAAACTTTAATGCGGTGATAGCAGCTTAAGTCCCGGTGTAGGATGCATCTGAAGCCAGCTTCGACTTCCGCCTTATAGAAAAGTCTAACACAGCCTTCGAAAGTCATTAACAACGGGTCCATTTATGGGTCCAACGAGGGAGAATCCACGTTAAGCAGAGGCGGTACTAGTGTAAATCAACCAGCAGCTGAGAAGGCCACTGGGTGTTATTTAGATCTCCCGTGAGAGGGAATGTACCAATGCACACCTGGCGGAGATGCGGGCAGGTATCGACAACTCTTTAACATGCAGTATAAACACACGTGGTCCATGTGATCGGGAGCGTCACCTGTGTTGCGTGTAGTGATAACTGCTACTTCATCGGCGTCCAATAGCAAACACTATCATCATCGATTATGTCTGTGATGCCTCTTTATCAGTAGTGGGAGTGGAATGAGGCGTGTGAATGGTGCACAGGGGGATTGCATCACACGCGGAGGTATAAGTCCACATCCGTGAGCATTTCGACGAAAATGCCATCAGAGATGAAAGGTTATGTTTTGTTTTGTTATTCCGGATCCTTATTTACTACAAGATTTCTCTATAAAGCTTGACTTGCATTATGGAAAACATGAATGGACTGCAGCGGTGATAGGGAACTATCCTTGGAAGTACTCTGGAGATACGCTTTAATAGAGAACTAACTCCGGGTGTACGGCGAGGATACCATTAAGAGAGCACCATCGCTACATGTGATATGAAGATACGACAAAATAGAAAAGAATCATTGGACAATTGTGTAGATACGACACAACAGAAAAGAATCACTGGATATACTGTGAAGATAGACCATAACAGACAAGAAAGTTTGGATATACTGTGAAGGTAGACCATAACAGACAAGAAAGTTTGGATAAACTGTGACGATAGACCATAACAGAAAAGAAAGTTTGGATAAACTGTGACGATAGACCATAACATAAAAGAATCTTTGTATATACTGTGAAGGTAGGCCATAACAGAAAATAATCTTTGGGTGTACCGTGAAGGTAGGCCATAACAGAAAATAATCTTTGGATGTACTGTGAACTTTACGCCATCACAGAAAATAATCTTTGGGTGTACTGTGAAGGTAGGCCATAACAGAAAATAATCTTTGGATGTACCGTGAAGGTAGGCCATAACAGAAAATAATCTTTGGATGTACTGTGAAAATACGACACAGCAGAGGTATCATTGGATGTACTGACAGATGGTTTAATTCACCTTTCAGTGGCGTTCTGAACATGAGATTGACCGTAGATACTGGTGATCTGTATTCAGATTGTGCGCGCTGACACTAGCTTCCGACTCTACAATGAGCCTCGATGAACGCCTGTTCTGTGACGACAAAAACAGCACGACGACGACAACCGATTCTGTCAGCAAGTCCATCGTCGTAGCGTTGATATCCGCGGCCATCATAGGCGGTAACGTCATATGTCTTATTGTACTGAATTCACGTTGCACACGAGGGTACTTCATGGAGTCGGCCCGTATGTTGATGACGTCGTTGGCGTGCACCGACTGTACGATGGGGTTGACGGTGACGGCGTTATGCATCTACCCCGCTTTATACAATTGCTGGCCGTACGGCAAAACGGTGTGCAAGCTACAAGCGTTGTGTATTTCTAGCCTATTCCATGAGTCGACGTTGTCCTTGACCTTGGTTGCTGTTGACCGATATATATCAATATTTCACCCCTTGCGTTATCGCTTGCTGGTGACGCGTCACAAGGTCATCGCCGCCATCGTTGTCAGCTGGATGATCTGTTTTACTGTCTATGGAACGACTGTGTTTGGTTTTGATCAGTTTTATTACGACGACATCGGAATCAACTGTGAACCATTTTATCAAAACCCGTCCATCACGGCAACTGTTATGTCGTTATTCTACTTCATCCCCGCCGTCATCATGCTGGTGTGCTATCTCCGGATATTGACAGTTGCTACGCAACAGAAGCCAGGGGGCGCAACCCAGGCTGGGAAACAGGTCAGTAAGTCACAAAAGATAATTCACTAAGAAGCTTATAATACTTTTTATAACCGACTTTAGATTTATTCAATATCATCGGCTTCGTGCAGTTATATAACGCTTTTACGTTGTTAACGTCAACGACTTCGATTTGTTATGTTGATAACCAATAACCAATATTTTGCTTTCAAACACGAACATAACCCTGTGAAAAAAGCCCCAAAGAGCCCAGTGGTTAGAGCCTTTGCTTGTCACGCCGATAGCACGAGATCAATTCCTCAAGTGGTTACAAACAATGAAGCCATTATATCCGTGGTATTTCTATTATATTGGTAAAACAACTGTAAACTCGACTCACTCACTCGAAGCCATGAAGTTGTTTCGTAAGGTATGAAGAATATTTTCTAACCATTTAAATGAATGGCCAGAATACCTAATACACAAGTTGGAAGAATTATTTAATCGAAATACCATTAAATTCAAATTCAAAACAAAAATGAAAAGTTCTTCATTTGCAGCTGAAACCTATTAAGTTCATCAAAGTAACGCCAGTTACTGCTCGGCAAGAATATAGGTCCCCATCAACTTGGTTGTAAAACACGACTCAGTGGATCGGGTGGTCAGGCTCGGTGACGTGATTGACTGCGTGTAATCAATTCCCATTGGCGTAGATCGATGCTCATGATATCAATCACTGAATTGTCTGGTCCAGACACGATTATTTACATATATAATGCTGTCACTTTTCTTGAATATTCTTTAGCAATATTCTAGGCATACCAAGGCGTGGCACACCAGAAATCGGTTATTCACACACTGAACTCATGTGGGGAATCGAACCCGGGGCTTCAGCGGGTCGAGCAATGGCTTCAATCACTAGGCTACCCTAGCGCCCTCCTTTTCTGATGAGCCTGTTTCGAGAACAGGTATATCAAATGAGAAATATATTCATGATTGGTATTTCGATATAATGATATGAGATAAAACAGGAATACCTTAGTGGTAATTCTACTCAACTACAAAACCAACAAAATAAATATGAAAACGCGATTGTCAAATAACAATGCTCAGGTCAGGTGTTCGCGAATGAGTAAGCTTGCACTCAAACATTTGTTGTGTATGTGCTTCGAATCAGTACTTGTTTGCTCCAAAAACAAGCGTGAGACGCCCCCAGGAACAACTTGTGAATATTCATGAACAAATACTGTATACCATATCTTTAACTTTCATCTGAACAACATAGAATTGGGTCTTTGAAAACACACCTTGTCACAAGTTTCTTTACTGTAGCAATAATGATCGTGAAATATATTTGACAAGGTGATGGAAAGCCAACTTACACTGCAAGGTCTTGAATTCCAATTAACTAGACAATGGATGCGTCAGATGACATTCGATCAATGTTACACTAGCGTAAAAACAATAGTCGTTACTCAGTGTAGTACTGAAGCCGTTTGGAATTTAGCGACAAAACTAACGACGGCAAAGGGCGTCACTGGGGCGTGGTTTGACTTGGCGTGGGTCTTGCCGTGCCGATATTCAAGTTCGATCTAGAGCAAGGACATGTCCCTTTACCCTAATGGAGCATCATCAGTAATCGAAAACTCGGTTTTTCTTTACAAACCTTAATAGCAATTTTTCTTTCTTCCGCTCTTCTGTCAATAAACTAGTTTCACGAGGTTACAAAGTATAAGAGGATGGTCAATGAAATTATATCCATTGAAATAGCTTAAGGTGGAAATACATCGAGTCAAGGTATCTCATATCCACCCACGTATCTGTATTTGATATTGTGCATTCCTTATATTTCAGTTTTGTTTGTTTGTGGTTCAAAGTGTAAGCTAATGTATGGTAATACCTACTCAGATACACTGAAAGGATACATTCATCTTGAAGAATTTCTGGCAGCATGGAGGCAATTGCAGCTTCAGACAGAAAAACACAAAATGAACGAAATTGAATTAACATGTCATGTACAAGTATTACCCTCTCGCCAGCATGCCATGTTTTCAACCCATTTGTGTCATGGGCCAATGGCCTCCTCACGCTTTTTAAATAAACTTGTACTCATTTGAAATTTATATTTCCCAAGGGCATACAACCGTAAAATGTGTTGTGTAAAGATCTATAATTGTTGACAGGAGGACAGAGGGACGTGGGAGGGAAACTGACTTAACTAGGTCAGATTAGTCTGCAGGGACTCGGTGTTGCAAATGTTTCAAGGCGTGCGGAGGGCATGGGTTGAGGATGAACATAATTGTTGTTTCTGAGGCTGGATGCTATCTACATATATCCACTTTAATGCTGACCTAATCAGCTATAGCAGGACACTATACAACCACTCGGTGTCTTTTACCATAGAACTCACATAGCTACTTGGATACTGCTCTATCCATCTGTAACATGGATGCTGCCTCTATGTTTGCAAATGAAAGCGACCTTTCTATACTCATTATGAATATGATACGAATTATCATCAAACAATAATGATACTAGGTGTTCGTCAATTGTTCACATAAAAATACACATTATGCTTTCGTGGACAGGTTTCAGCTATTACATATGTGCCTCTAAATCTGTTGACAACATTCATATGAACAAGTGTGATTTATTTAACAACGGCTTATTCAAGGTTGCCTCATTAAATACATTATAAAGATGCAGTGCACTAAAAGGACCTCATTACATCTCGTCCGTCATCTTCTCCACTCAGCCTAACCTACATCTTCATCGACGTGGCACATTGACAGAGGCTGTAGACTGCATGCATATCGACATAACAGTTATTCCAAATATCAAATGGCCTCTTGTATAGCTCTCACTTAGAAAATCCACGCAAATCCATCGAGATTCGCTATTTGTCAATCGCTCAGTAATAATGGAGATGGGTCTTTCAGAGTTGCTATAACTGTAAAGAACGTGATAGTTCACCAGATATAAAGCATTGGGAGTGATTGCTATTTTCGCGCTAAACGCGCTTGTAATCAGATATATTAAAGACGAACGTTATTTCGGTGAAAAAAGGAGTTATTGATCAAATTCCGCAGTTTGAAATCTGGACTAAATAATATACCCTTTGGAATTCCATGGGGAAAAGAGTACTGTTAGTTTTTTTAAGTTATACTTTTCATGGAAGAGGCAATCAGTCGTACAATATATATAATATTGCACAGCGAAGACGGCAAATAAAGAAGGTGAGAGGTTTGGGGATCAATACATGCGTACTGAAAGGTATTTGGATGTGCTTATTTTGGACAGTGGTTAGCTTTTGTTAACAGAACATATATGATGGATTTCAACTCGAACAGAAAACGCTCATTAAACCCTGATAAATATTATGCACTGTTAACTTATGTCTGTGGGTGGGTGGCGACGTTGAGCGTGTAAGGGGTCGGGGTGGGCTGGGGTGGGCTGGGTACATGGGGTGGGTGGTAGTGTTTGTGGTGGCTACATATGTATTGCGAAAGCTTTCATACGGCGCGTGACACAATTTTTACGAGTTGTTTCAAAAAGTATCTAACGAGAGAATGTAAGTTAGATTCGCTTTGAAACAACTAGTTGTAAGATAAAGGGTTTCTGACAGGCACGAGTGCAGTAATCTGTTTCCTACACGCACTACAATCGCATCTTTTAGCATCGAATCGATGCATTTTGTCTACTTTCATGATCGCAGTGGCGCATTTATACATAACACAACGGTCATGAGTGACGTCATCCGTCACTGCTTACTACTTAAAATAATTTGACCCTACACAAACAGGTTTCGTGTTAATCACTGGATTGACTGCTCCAGACTCGATTATTTATAGACCGCCGTCATATAGCTGGAATATTGCTGAGTGTGGCGTTAAACAACCAACCAACCGTCATACCCGTGGATTATCAAGGCGATGATGATAATGCAAACGAGATAAGATCAAGGAACACGCTGGATGTAGAGTTAATAATTTTCACCTCAACGAAATTACAAATATGTACAACATTGTTTTCTTCCGTATGACATCACTACTGGTGACTCACCTTTACAAAATGGCGTGTAGGCAACGCGAGATTTAAACAGGAGGATTTTCGTTGATCGAGGGATCGTATGTACACAAATGTGTCATGTAAGTAATCAGAAACAATCAGACAATCTGCATACTGCTATTTGTTTTTATGTTTTCAATGTAACAATATGTTTGAAATATACGCATAATAGGTGTCTCATAACCGGCATACGTGAAATGTGATTTTGTATACGTAAACGCTGTATCCAATATGGCGCAAAGTTCACTTTAGCGTTTGTGCGTATTTTCCATAACATTCTAAATTATTCTAGGCTTATCCGCGACGTTTCATAATGACCATTGGTTGTTTGATGAAAAATAGATAGAAATCTACATGTGATCACTAATATGCTATTTTTGAAATTCAGTTCTTCGAGTAAATATCCGATATTTAGATTTCTGAACACACGGTAAATAATTAACGCCATGGATGATTTAGTAAGGTGTGTAAGAAAACATAAACATTAATATTGCAACTTTTATGTTGCAAACAGCAAATGTCTCACTGATAGAAATACAAATTTGGGAGTCTGTTACAGATCCAGGGCGTGCACTGGACTTGACTATGTAGTCATAATGTCATAATGTCATTTACTCTATTCATTGTATCACTGTATCGTGTCCGTGATAATCCCAATACGAGCTTTAAGGGATAACCAGTCTTTCTTCCTGACTACATCTCCACTAAAGCCCTGGGCCCCGTTCCATAAAGCCACCTTAGCGCTTAGGTGATCGTAAGTCCCATACTTCAACACTGTCTTACGATAGTCGTAGCTAAGATCACTTTGTGGAACGGTGCCCTGCTCCATGAGGTACCTCGGCATCGTTGGTCCAGTCGTCTAAGGCGTCGCAATTCGATGTGCGCATCCCTTGGACATGCAAGAAACCGATGATCGGGGCTTCGAATCCCCATTCGTCCAGATTATTTTTCAAGTTTTTTCCAGCACCATACGTCCGGCTGTAACGCCAAAC